TATAACAGATGGTTTTAGATGAAAACAATATCGTCATTTGCTCGGTAAATCCCCATTTTAGCTTCATAGTTGCTTCATGTCACATCTCACCCGAGATAATGACTTGAAAAGGTAATGAACTTTTGACTTTGTTCACATTTAGTCACTAAACTTTTTTTCATTATCTATTTGTCACTGAACTATTGAAACTATTTATATTTAACCTTTATGATCGGTAACAACTGGTCAACCGGTCATAAGGGTAAAATATGAACAGTTTCAATAGTTTAGTGATAAATAGATAATAAAAAAAAAGTTTAATGACTAAATATGAACATAATCAAAAGTTCGTAACCCTTTCAAGTCATTGTCTCCCCCTCACCCTATAGACTTGTGTTGTAACTATCTTGTAGTGTGTATGCACAACTTAGGTTGATGTTGAAAATGTAAGATTTAGGTTTTTAATTTTTTTTTTAATTTTATTTTATTTAGAGATCTAGATGATGAAAATGGTGGTGGTGGTGAGAAGGGAACAATTTCTTGTTGGGGCATATGACAATAACTATTCTTGTACTTAAAGGTTAACTGTTATTTTTCTAAATTAATAACAACAATAATTAGAATTTTAGTTTTTCATAAATAATAATATTTTAAATTTTAAAAGAAAAAGTCACATTGACAACATGTTAGAGCACTAGATGACATGTTTTGATATTTAAAATGACATGTGTCATGCCATGTAGGAATGTTAACCAAATGACCTCTTTCAATTGATCAAAATAACATTTTAACGCCAGTTTCGAAAATTTAAATACTCATAATACTCCTATGTTTGATAATCAAACGATGACAATAGCAAAAGTTAACATTAACCGTTTTATTTTATCTAGAGAAATTTATAAAAATAATCAAAATCCTTAATGAGTTAGTATTCTTATTCAATAAGGGGCTATTAATTTTGCCATCAAAATCGCAATGACTAAATCACCTATGATTTCACTATATTACCAAAGAATTCAACATAGTGAGCTATGAAACCGGTCCATTTTCGAACCATGTTAAAAATAGAGGTGTTCGATTTTAAAAAAAAAAAAAAAAAAAAAAAAAAAAAAGGGGAAATCGTACACAATAGAGGTCAAATCGCATATTACATATATTAAATCCTAGGTGTTCACATCTTGTACAAGTGAAATCCCCGGTGAAGGAAGAGGAAATCACAAGTGACTTTAGTCATTTGCATTTTCATAAAAAAATCTGAAATCTGAAATATGATATATTTTATACTTACAAATTTATTGGGTTTGATATGGAATGATTTCATAGTCTATAATGGAAAATTGCAAGGGATCTACCTAAATTCGCAACCTGCTATTTGAATGATTATTTTTAAAAAACCAAACTTTTTAACAAAAATTAATTAAATTGTTAAGATTTTGACTATTTCTATAATTTTCTTTTTTATTTAAGTTTTTCAATTTTCTAAATCACTTTTTTCTATAAAGGTTTTGGGACAGTGAAAAGTAAAAAAATAAAAATAAAAATAATAACCACACAAAAGTACACTGTCTCTTGATGATTTAGTGGGGACCTTTTGTCATTTACATAAAGCTAGCACTGTGTTCACAGGCTTTTCCCCCAATTGTTTATTCTTCAAGGGGTTTTTGGTCATTTACCAATTTGCATACAAGATACATACACGCAACAAATTACTCGTCATCGAGTAGTCTACCATATTAGATTATCGAGTAAATTACAGTTTTGGTCTGTGTTTGTTATTCTCATATAGTTTTTTGTTCAAGTTTTTTAAAATTGTCTTTTCTATTTATAAAAATATCTTAACTGTATTTATTTTAATGTAACATTTTATATTATAATTTATGATTTTAATGTTTTTATTTAAATTATTGTAAATTAGTAAAAGTTATGCAGTTAATGTACTATCCTTCTTGATTGTATTCTTCAGTTTTGGAAACTTTGACACTCTCTTGACATGATTTGAACAAAAATATGACTCTTTTAAGAATTATGAAATCTTTCTTTATAGTGATACAAAGTATCAAGTGACCTTAATAATATTTTGGGCAAATATCATGCAAATTTTTTTTTTATAGTTTTTTTATATATAAGAAAACATATTTACAAAATCATTTTTAAGAATTTATATGATAACTTTACGATCATATAAATTTTAAATAAGTTTTTATAATTTATAACTTGAACATATATTATTATCTCTACTCCAAATTAACTAAAAAGTAGTTTTACTTTATATATAATTTCTTGTATTAATTTGTAAAAATTATACCCAGAAAGTTGGATGTATTTACAGAAACCGGTTGTAGGTTGCCTTTAAAATTGGAGTTTCCAATGGCCTTTTTCACTATAAATCTTTAACCAAAGTAAAAAAAAAAAGTTAAAGTACAGATAAAACACATCATTTTATTAGAAACGTACAAGTTACAAAAGCATTACTATTATGGATCTAAATTTTAAAATTGTGGAAAAGTAAAAAAAGAATTAGCTGTAATAAGTTCGTTAAAAAGTAAACATTTTGTCTGAACTCTGAACATTCGTTTTTTCACTTTCTCCCCTTTGTAAATTTAAATCACGATATGGCCCTTTATTTTCGTTTACGCTGCCAAATGTCTCTTAAAACTTTTGCGCACTTTTTCTTAAAAAATCTTCCTTTTCTTTCTATCACAAATCGCATCTTCATACTTATTGGTTAAGTTTACGAGATCTGAAACAAGTGAAGTACACATTATAATATATTAATCTTTGATCAATTTTTAATATCTAAATCAATTTTTACACGTTTTTAAAAGGGATAATTATTAAAAAGTTAATATATTATTCGATTATTTAGCCGTTTAAAAAAAATATTATTTGATTAGTATATATTTAGTCATTGGGTTTTTTTCGTTCATATTTACCCCTTCAATTTGTTAAATTATACATATTCGGTCCTTACTAATGGCTACTCCAGGTTAGCCATGAAAAATGACATAATATGATAATATATTTATCATTTTGTATGATTTTAGTCATTAATATTTTTATACAAATTTAGTTTCAAATACTTTTGTACACATTTAGTCAATAATATTTTTTTGTTTCAAAATAAGTTGTTTGTTTGTTTTTTTTTTTTTTTTTTTTTTTTTTTTTTAGGTTTTTCTCACGACATCTTACGTGGTACAATCATTGATGAGGTGTTTGGGGCAGTTAATGCTTATGTCCATCGCGATCTCAACTGCTTGATGACGTAGGTCTTGTGGTTTGGCTTAAGTCTTCTGTTCTGAATGTTGTAACTTCTTTATACGATATCAGATTTTAACGATCTTTATATCCACGTGTTCGGTTTTTGAGTCTACTACAACTTTCGTTAGGATTACTCTCGTTAAAATATAATGTATTTGTACTTACGATTTTATTAAAAAAAAAAAAAGAACATCCATACATGCATTCATAAAACACGTATGGATATAAAGATCATAAGTAAATATATTTTTTAACGGGAGTAATCTAAATAAAAATTGTAAACTAAAATACGAACACATGAATATAAAGAACGTTAAAATTTGAGATTGTATGGAGACGTTATTATTGGATTAGGTGTCTAAATTATTTTGGTATGTAATTGATCCGATTACGAGCATGCTCCTTTTGGGTTGTCTTCACTATAGCAACTGATAGGATAAACTAAGGGGAAAGATGATTAATTATGATTTATTAATATATTATAAGAATTAAAGGAGAAATTATATTGTTTAATTAATATTAGTCAATAATAAATTAAGAATTAGTTTTTGACTAAAAAAGATTAATTAAATAAAAGGGACTGATATTGTAATTATAAGATAGTTGCATAAATGGGCTAATAGACTCCATAGAACTTGGAGTGGATGAAATCTATGGGGAAACCCATAAGAACTCGTCCAAGGCTTCTAAGGAGGGAGTCTATTGGACGTTTTTGTGCCTTCTCCTACTTCTCTTTGTTCATCTTGTTGCTTATAGTGTTTGTGATCCCATTAGAGGTGCAACATTTGAGATACTAAGCTTACAAGAGTCAATATCAAGAGGGATTGAGATTGTTATTGCTACATAACAATCAATGTAAGATTTAAACTCTAATTTATATGTTAATTCGATTGTTATATGCTAGATCTAGGGTTTATGAGCTTTGGATGATTATTGCATGTTCATTAGACAAACTAGATTCAAAGCTTTAAGGTTTGCATGTACACTATAAGATTGGTGTTTTTCTTATAACCCATCAATTATGACGTTCAGAATAGATGACCTAAGTAACCAAGTAGTCGAGATCGCAATAGACATAAACATCCAAAGCCTCAAACACCTCATTAATGATTGTCTCACATAAGATATCGTGAGAAAAACCTAAAGAAATCATTCATAACTACTAAATGAGTACAAAAAACAAAAATAACATATTTTACAACAAAAAAAGTATTAAGGACTAAATATGTATAAAAAAATTAAGGACTAAATGTATACAAAACGAGAAATATATTACCCTATTAAGTCATTTTTACCTGCTAACATGAAGTAGCCGGTCATAAGGACTGAATGTGTACAATTTAACAAAGTGAAAGGGTAAATATTGATGAAAAAAACTCAATGACAAAATGTGTATTAATCGAATAATATATTACCCCTTAAGTTATTATACTTTCAGAAATTAATAATGTCGAAATTAAATATTTTTGTTTTCAGTTATTAGTTTGAAAAATATCATTTTCATTTTTCACCATTAAAATGGTGTTAGGTGAAATATTGAATATGATACTTTATTCTAAAAATAAACTTTAGAAAAAATAAAACAAAGTAGGTCATTGTAAAAATCTAATTGTAAAAATCTAAGTGAAAACATTAAAGGAAAATAAGTACAATATTGAATAATATACTTAAAATCATGGGTAAATTACACGGATGGTCCCTGTGGTTTGGGGTAACCTGCGCGCCTAGTCCCTGAGCAAGATTTTTAACTCGGATGATCCGTAATGGTAAAATTCATAACCATCCTGGTCCCTCACTTAACATCCCGTCTAATTGCTCCGTTAAAACACCCCACGTGCAAGGCACGCAGGGGTATTTTTGTCTTTTTAATATTCTAGTGTTACCGCCATGTTGTATACGAAGAGGCGATCATTTTTCTCTGTACTCCATCTTTTCATTCAGAAAACCCAGAAAAATTTCAACATTCCGATAAGAAAACCCTAATCGTGATATCTTCTCCTCTAAAACGCAATGGTGCTGTGGCGTATACGTGCAAATATGGAGGAAATCGATGTTGGACGTCGTTACTGTAAGTATTCTCTCACTCTCAATCTTCTATAACTTGGATTTTGTTGAAGCCTTATCTGAAGTGGGCTATTTCACAGGGGGCATCCGACAATCTTTTCCATTAGGTTATACCATGGTGGAGAGTTCACCAAATTTCCTGGAAGAAAGTACATCAAAGGAAAACAAACGTATATAGACTTACTCGACATGGATACTTTCTCAGTGCATGACATTGATGAAATGATGGAACAGTTAGGTTATGTTGATGAAGGTATACCTTTGTACTATCACTTTAAACGACCTTTTTCAGATTTAGATTTCGGGTTATTTGCTTTGGGTAGTGATCAGGATGTGAGACATCTGGGTACCTTCATTTCCAAGCATAAGTTGATTGAAGTCTATATTGAGCATGGAAAAACCCAATTACATACGTACACAATGTCCCCAAATCAAGCAAAAGTTCAAATAAAGGAAATTATTGAACCTCCATCATGTTCTCGTAGGCTTTTCTTAGATTGGTATGATACTGGGGAGACAAATGTTGTTGGGGATGCTTCTAAAGAGGCTAATGTAATGGACGTCACTGGAGATGACAATATGGACATAACTGATAATGGGGATAATAACAAGAAAGGAAATCCATGCGTTGAAGTTGAAATTGGGGACAAATTTGAGCACACGAATGAAGTTGAATTTAGGGATGGTAACAAGGGTGGAGAAGATCCATGGTCTGAATTTGAAAGTGGGGAGATGTTTGAGGACATAAACGAAGAAGAATTTGGAAGTGGGGACAACTTTGACGATGATAGTGGTTATAAATCTAGTGAGTCCGATGATATAGACTTTTATGTTGACAATGACAACATCTTAGATGATGTAGAAGTTGACATGAATGATTTCAATGATAACATTGATATGGATGCAGAGTGGGTTGGAGGTATGAATGACAATGTGGTACAAGAAGAGAATGAAGTTGGAGAGCTTAATGAAGTACTAAATAACGAGGTACTTTTGTCAGGATCATCTTCGGATGAAGGTCCAGTTGGTCAACGAAAGAAGACCATCAAAGCTATCCAACGAGCTCATGAGAATGATGAAGCAAATGTTGCTGAACCATTTTATATCCTTCAAACCTTTAATACAGCCCAAGAGTTTAAAGAAAGAGTTAAAGTCCATGCTATTGAGACAAGAAGGGAACTTGGTTTTGAAAAAAATGACAAGAATAGGGTAAGAGTTGTGTGTAGGGGGACAATACCAAAACTGGGAAACTTAGACAAAAGTGGGGAAGGTCAACAAGAAGTCAACAATGAAGATGAAGAGAAGTGCCCGTGGAGCCTCTACGCTAGTAAATGGAAACGTGATACAAACTGGATGGTCAAGTCTTACAACAAAGAACATCGTTGTCTCCAAACTCGGAATGTTAAAGCGTGTACTTATAAGTTTCTTGCCAAAAAGATTACAACTCAGGTGGAATCTAACCCAACTATTCCAATTCGTGCTTTACAAGAACAACTGCAACGTGATTACCAAGTGGGACTTTCCAAGATGAAAGTGTTTAGGGCTAGAACTGAAGCTCTCAATCAGGTGCGAGGGGATTATCGAGGTCAGTATGCTCTATTGAGAGACTATGTTCAAGAACTTCAAAAACATAACCCAGACACGACTGTAAAGATTGATGTAGAGCGTGAACCAAATCCAAATTCAGAAACTAGAACTTTCAAGCGCATATACATCTGTCTTGGTCCTTTAAAAAAGGGATTTGCTGCTGGAAGAAGAGACTTTCTTGGTCTCGATGGTGCTTTTATGAAGGGTCCATACCCAGGACAAATACTTTCAGCTGTGGTAACCTTTTTTCATATGAACTACATTTATATTATAAAAAGTTGTATTTTAGGTTATTGATGGTGCTTTAATTGTAAATTTTTTACTTATGTAGGGAATTGATGGTAATAATGGAACATATCCACTGGCTTATGCTGTTGTGGAATCTGAGAGTACCAACTCATGGACTTGGTTTCTAACTTGTCTAGGGGATGATTTGGGTTTAGGAACAAACTCAAATTTTACGTTTATGACAGACAGACAAAAGGTATTAATTCGAATATCAAATTAATACATTATATATGATATACTTTTAATACAATTTTCCATTATATAGGGAGTGTTACCTGCTATAACAAAGTTGTTTCCATGCGCTGAGCATCGTTATTGTCTTCGTCATATCCATGAAAACATGAAAGCTAATTGGAGGGCAAAGCAATTCAAAGACTTGCTATGGGATTGTGCAAAAGCATCTACTATTCAACAGTTTCAACGATCAATGGAGGAACTTAGAAAACTTAATAATGATGCGTATGAGTGGCTTAAAAACATTCCTCCTCAACATTGGTCTCGTTCACACTTTACAGGTAGATTTTAATGTTAGATCATTAGTTTGTAGCTGTGCAATATGTGTGAAACTCTAAATAGCTCATACATATTTTAATGATTTATTAGGTAGAGCTCATACAGATGCTATGCTTAACAATATGTGTGAATCTCTAAATAGCAAGATTGTTGAAGGTCGTGATGTACCAATCATTACATGTTTGGAGTACATTAGAGAGTACTTAGTGAAGAAAATTGTAACTGTGCAAAAGGAAATTGATAAAGCTGTAGGTCCCTTGACTCCTACAGCTACCATATGGGTTGAAAAACTGAAGAAAGAGGCTTCACAATTAAGGTCTGTTTTTTGTGGGAATGGGAAATATCAAGTCAGTAAAAATCTTTTGGAACAGTTTGTGGTAGATATGGGCCAACAAACATGTTCATGTAGAAGGTGGGAACTAATAGGGATACCATGTGCACATGCAATAGCATGTATGTGGGAGATGTTGAAGAACAAAGAAATTGATAAGATACCTGAACATTGGGTCCATCGAACGTATTGGTTAGAAACATGGAAGAATATGTATTCTTTTACAATTCACCCAATCAATGGAAGGAACATGTGGGAGAAGTCTACATGCCCTACAACCTTACTCCCTCCAAAACACCATGTGCCCATTGGAAGACCAAAGAAAAAGAGAAGGAGATCTGCCATGGAGGTTGAGGATTTGGTGAAAGGTAACCAATTGTCAAGAGCACAAAAATCAGTGACATGTTCTAAGTGTAACAAAAGTGGGCATAATGCAAGGACTTGCAAGGGACAGAAGGCTGGTGGTTCTCAAAGTTCAAGGAATGTTGGTGGATCACAAACTTCAAAGATTGTTGGTGGTGCTGGTAGTGAAAAAGTGAAGGTTGGAAGTGAAAAAGTGAAGGCTGGTGGATCACAAACTTCAAGGAATGATAGTGGTGCTGGAAGTGCGAAAGTGAAGGATGGAAGTGCAAAAGTGAGGGCAAGTGTTAGCAAAAAAGGGAAAGGTGTCCCATAAATGTGGCTTTTAGGTGCTTATGTATTGTTTTGGTTGATGTTGACAAACATTGTCTTCTTTTGAACTAATTTATGTGTTGTGATGGTTATGTTAATTGCTTTTGAAAAACAATGGTGTAATTATAGTATCCAGTTTTAGCAATGTACTTTGCCTTTGACAAACAATGTAATCTTTTGATTGCTTTTATTTTGGTCATCTGTTTTGCTTATTTTGGTCATCTGCTTTTGGCATTGCTTTTATTTTGGTCATATGTTTTGCTTTTATTTGGGTCATCTGCTTTTGTCAATGTAATCTTTTGATTTCTTTTAGCAATGTAGTTTAACCAATGTCCCAAGATACATCACAAATTGTAAAATACAATCAAGTTCAACAAAATATCATTTTCATTGATAAAAGGGTACCCTTGATACAAATAAGTTTCATTACAAGGCATTGTAAACAACTACAACTACTTCTGTTGATCTTAAAACTAACACTACAACTTGTAAACAACTATCCCAAAAAACAAAAACCAACTGATTATTAACATAAAACTAACACTACAACTTATAAACAACTATCCCAAAAAACAAAAACCAACTGATTATTAACAATGCCTTCAGATTCCGATTTTGGACCTCAAGTTCTTGAATTTGGATTTCAAGCCCCTCATTTTTTATTTCCGCCTCATGACCATGCTTTTCTTCATCTACCCACTTAATAAAGCCAGACCTTGGTCCCTGTACTGTGAATAGCTTCGATTAGCACATACGCATACTAGGGTTACAATAGAAAATCCCCCAAAACAATTCCAGCATCGTACCTCTAATGGGCAAGCATAAAATGCCTTACCTGGGTTTCTTTTCGTAGTTGAAGTACGTATAACGCCTATCGCACCACAATTGCATTTCACCATGTTTGATCGGCTGTGAGAAGAAAGGTGGGAGGAGAAGACTGCGATTGAGAAAGAAATGGGGGAAGAAGACAAATAAACCATGTTTAAAGAAGACATGGTGACTTAAAAAGACAAAAATACCCCTGCGTGCCTTGCACGTGGGGTGTTTTAACGGAGCAATTAGACGGGATGTTAAGTGAGGGACCAGGATGGTTATGAATTTTACCATTACGGATCATCCGAGTTAAAAATCTTGCTCAGGGACTAGGCGCGCAGGTTACCCCAAACCACAGGGACCATCCGTGTAATTTACCCTAAAATCATTAATATAGTTTTAAATTTATCAATTTTAGAAAACTACGTAATTGTGTAACATAACTGTTATGTTTTAAAAAGATAATATAAACCTAACAAGCATTATACGGTATCATTAAAATGTTAGAATTAATTTTAGAATGTGGTTGGATTTGAAAAAGAATATTTGGTGGTAAAACATGATTTTTTTGCATTACTCATGATGTTATGATTCGAAGACTAATTTTTACGATATTTATTGTAATTCATTAAAATTTTCTGTAAAATTAATTTTTTTTAATTTACTAAAAAATGAATTTTGTTTTGGGAATTTTATTTTGTTGTGAATCCGTTACTTTTTATTTATCTAATGATTAATTTTGTTGGTTCATTAAAAAATATGCATCTAAATTTTTTTTCATCTTTCTATCAAAAATTTTCTTCTTATTTTATGCGAATTATATATATATATATATATATATATATATATATATATATATATATATATATAATATATATATATATATATAAACTGTAACAATAATTTTGTTATATCAAAAAATCAAAATAATTGAAATTCTTTAGATTTCACTAAATTTCATGACTAGAAAAATTGATCATTCTTTGGGTAATGCAAAGATTTTTATTTTATTTTTTATGTTTTATTATAAAGATAAAAATATCATCTCATATGCTTTTTAATTTATCATGATTCATCACATCAAAACATATGATCGTTATCTCTCTCATACCCACACACATACTCACGTATACCTATATGTACACACACACACACACACACACACACACACACACACACACATATATATATATATATATAGCCATGTCCACACGCCCACTACCTTAATCCCATCCTACCCCAAACCCACACACCCACCCACCCTATCATCACACCCATCATATTTTAAGACACATGCTCTCTCTTTCTCTCTCTCTCTCTCTCTCATACACACACACACCTTTCTAATACACCAACAGAAACACCTACACCAAAACTGATGTTGACACCCAACCCACCATCACACCTACCCTACCTTAAGACCCAAGTTCACACACTTACACACCTTCCTACTAGTAAAATTAGGTCACCGTTCGTCAGTCTAAACCACCGCAAACCCACTATGATACAAACCTAATGCATTGTATTCTACAATTTTAAGGCAATTGAAGTTTTTACACTAAGAAATGCAAACAAAGTACCATTTTATTATTCGATGGATCTAGATCGTTTACTAACAATGTAACGTTCCAAAGTTTAACACTAAAAATTTCAATTTTTATAATAATGAAACCATCAACCAAAATGTTTTTATAAAACCATAACGAAATCAGAGTATGTCAAAATCATCCAAATACATCAAAGTAAAATAAAATGAAGAACAATATGGTGTGTGCGATGCAACCATCTGCTGCTAGCGATGGGGTCCCTAGCCCCATGATAATCCGGTGCCCCGCAAGCCCTGAACTCCCGAAATGTCAAGGTACGCGCTCCCAACAAAGCCATCATCTCAGTACGGAAGACTCCCAGCCTCTCATCCAAAATCTCCAGTATACCCTCCTTGACCGTGCCAAAGATCACAGGAGTCTGAGCTAAAATACTGCGCGTAACCTCCGCTGATATCAACTCCCTCATCCGCTCCTCGAGCTGCTCGGCCCCTAAACTCGAGCCCAATCCCTCTCCGGCGCCTGATCCGCCCGCTGGTCCGGTCTTGCAATGTCACCATACTGAAACATACAACATAACCACTACCAGAATACTCCTCACTGCTGCGAGACCAAACATACTCACTACCAGGTTCCCGGTCTTGTCTCGGCCTTTCTCGAATCGAGTACGTATCCTCTGCTTTCAGTAGTACGGGCCCATACTACCTTCCACATCTATCCGTACTTTCCCCAGGAACTGCTTTGACTCCACCATGTCCTTTTTCTACTTCTACTGCTCCCAGCACTACCTCATCCTAGGCTTACCCTAGGGAAACCTTTGACTCAACTCAAACCAGTCCTCAGCTGCTGAAGGCCTCCTCACAATGCCAATTAGCCATCACCTGGATACCATCACATGTGACGAGGCTCAGATAATCCTTCAAGTAAAAGACTCGTTCCTACAACGGTTGGACTCAAACAAGAGCTGCGTAATAGGACCAAATCCAACACTCTGAGATTATTCAACCCTGATCACATGTGACGTGACGTATCCACCTAATGGCTAACTCCCATCACTTAGAATCCCACAATGCACAAAGCAAGCAGCATTCAGACAAGGAGAAAATCTAACCATAACATACTCAAGCAATCATATCCACATAGCAAGAATCTGAACTAGCATACAACACAACTCATAAACTCAGGCATAACCTAATCAGGCTATCCTACTACTGACTATTCAGCACTATCATGCAGATCACAAGCACATATAACAGGCACATAAGGCATCCTCCCTAGATCCTTAGTCCTAATCTAGCATGTTGTTCTATTAACTGATAATCAAAACATAAACTTGTATGGGTATTTTGGGGTACTTACTTGAGCTCGGTTGATTGCATGCACCACACCTCTTTTCTCTTTTCAAAATTCTTTTCTTTCTGAATTCTTTTTACTTTTATAAAATCATTTTCTTTCTCAAAACTCTCTTTACAAAACTATCTTTTCGCTTTTGAAAACTTTTTATCCGACCCCTCAGTTTGAGTTCAGGCACACCCGAGAGTATGCCCGAATCCCTCAAACCAAGGCTCTGATACCAACTTGTAACGACCAAAAAATTAAGACCAAAAATTTCTTTTAATAAATCATTACTTGAAGTAAAGTCATCATTCCAAAACATAATATGAGAATAAGTTTTCAAAACACATGTTCATTATCAGAGTAAACATTCCCAGGCTATCTAATCTATGGTGTGTGCCATGCGATCACTCCGAGCTCTTCCCTCCGCTACCGGAAGTACCTGAAACCAAAACTGAAAACCGTAAGCACGAAGCTTAGTGAGTTCCCCACCCTACCACATACCATGTATAACCACATACTGCACATACTGGGCCACGCCCCTATCTTGGGCCTCGCCCCTACCTCGGGACTCGCCCGCTACAACGGCCCCACCGCTCCAGGCCCCGCCTGGCTTCGAGCCCCGCTCGGATACAGATCTGTTTTACTTAGGCCTCGCCTGTCACAGGGCCTCGCCCGTCAACAAGTAATACCACATAAACATTTCACAACACATAACTAACACATGCAACTGGTTCTGTCCTAAGGCCTCGCCTATCCTGGGCCTCGCCCATGTCCTGCTACTGGTGAGTCATGGAACCCCGTCCACGCTACTAATGGTAGTGAGGTACGGGCCTAGCCCACTCTAACTCCTGTTCTAGTTCGGGCCTCGCCCCTATTCTGCTACTAACGAGATATGGAACCCCATCCACACCCTGCTATTGGTGAGATACGAGACCTCGCCCACACTCACCTCCCTACCAGGCACATACATGTATCACATAGACAACAAGTATAACTATCATATAAACAATTCCCTAGGCACCCGCCCGCTATTACTGGACCTCTTCCTGAAAATAGTACTAGCATACTGTGCCTAGGGCTAACCCCCAGGTCTTCTACTCATAACTACATGGGCCGGTATTGTGGCCTTAGACCCATTCACACAAAGGGAAACTCACCTGCACTGGCTGAACTTGCTGATGATCTCACTAGCTGCTGCCCGACAACTCACGGAACTCCTGCTCCCCTTGCTCACCGAACTACCAATATCAATGCAACACTGAGTCTTACTGACCCCCGAAAGACAACCAAGTCCACCCTGGTCCAAAGTCAAAGTCCTGATCAAACTCAACCTTCCAGGTCAACCCTACTCGCCGAGTCACCCTACTGACTCGCCGAGTTCAAAATGATCAGATTCCTTTCATTCACGACTCGACTCGCCGAGTCAGTCCATGACTCGCC